GGGGGGGTGGAGGCCATTGAGGGTAATCATGGGTGTCAGGGACAATGGAGGAGGAAGATGGGACATGGCAGAGGGTGGGGATGGGGAATCTAGGGTGGCAAAACAAAAGGCAAGGTATGCAGGACACAAAAATTGGGAAATCATTTGCTGAGAACATATATGTTGATGTGCTCGATTGAGCCAATGCACAGTGTATTTTGGATGGAAAATTCATATGTGTGTTGTGATGAGAAAAAAAAAAAAGTTATAATAAAGTATAAAAAAAAAAAAAAAAGGAGAGAGAAGAGGATAAAGACAGCAGTGAACAATAGAGAGGCAGGATGTTAATGAGAAATAGATATGGTTTATTACCTGTTGATGATGACATGTATAGTATTCTCAACTGAACTGGTCTGGGAAATATTTCATGATGGGTGAAGTCTTTTTAATAAGCAAAACGAGAAATAGTGATTGACTGTCTAAAAAAATATAATAATAATTATTGGGAAAAGCATGGAAAAGATATTGAATGATAAAGCGGGGAGATTGATATCTCTGTATTGACTGACATGTATGGCATTCCCTTTTGAAAAAAGCAATGGAAGTCAATGTAAAGTTATATGTAATCTACTGTAATAGAAAGAAGATTATGATGATAATAAAATAAAAAAACATAAAAAAAAAAAAAAAAAAAGATACCTAAATTATGTCATTAAAAATATCAGTATAATATGCTACCATTGTGTATAAATTTTGCATTGCACACTTTTTTACATTATTCTCTGCACCCATGTATTAAACATGTACAGACCTATCTAAAAATTCTAAATGGGTATTTATCCTCTTTTGTCTACTCTAACTTCTACTCTGCTTAATTTTTCTTTATAACACCACTCACCATCTGACATTGTTTTATAGTCTTTGTTTATTTCTTTATTGCCTCCTCCACAAGATTATACTTACCATTAAAATAGAGACTTGGGGGGCCAGCAGATGGCATAATGGTTATATCACTGGACTCCACATAATTTACTGTCATTTGAGTCCCGTACCCAGTGGCTTAAAACTCACACTGGACACATGTGCATGTGTGCCCAGAATCCCAAGAGGAGAATGGAGGAAACGGGATTGTGGCATAGCCAAGCCTCCTAGGGGTGATTTCTCGCTCTCTGTCTCTGTCTCTCTGGCAAGTGCACACACCCTATAGCAAAAATCTCTTTTAAAAAAAGAAAGAAAGAAAAGTAAAATAGAGACTTGGTCTCGTTTGTTACCATACCCTGTCACTGAAGTCAATGACTGGCACTTATTAATGAATGAATACTTGTAGTAGGAGGGCACTGAAATAATTTTATATTTTGGGACAAATGTATCATAGGCTTTTAGGCTATTGATAATGAAAGATTTAAAGCACTGCGGTTTTCGATAATTTTGCAGAACGGTGTACCTATGAGTGTTTTGCTGAATGTGTTTCCTTGATGACTTGGTTTTGTTTTTACCGTGAACTGAATAGGTTTCGCCATGTACCAAGAAGAACTATGTGAAATTCTTGATTTAGAAATAATTGTTCCCCCTTTGTCCCCAGTATTATCTTAAACTTTGGTTCCTCTAAATACTTTTCTTTACCAATAACTGAGTACCATTTTTATAATTAAATTCCCAAGTTACTGAATCTTGGGAAGTAACTTGTTTTTATTGTACAGGTCGAGTATCCCTTTTCCAAAATGCTTGGGACCCGAAGTGTTTTGGATTTCAGACTGTTTTAGATTTAGAAATATTTGTAAAGGCTTAATGGGGGTGGGGCCCAAGTGTAAGCAGAGTTTATTTATGCTTTCTATAAACCTGATACGCATGGCTTGCAGGGGGTTTTATACAGTATTTTTGTATTGCAGCATTTTCACTACTACTGTCACATGAGGTCAGATGTGGAATTTCCTACTTGTAACTTGTAGGCACTCAAAACATTTCGGATTTTAAAATTAGGAATGTTCAAATTGGACTTAAGATGAGTTGAATATGTAATTTTGGGTGTAGGGATATGGTGAAAGTTCACATTCTTAATTCCTTTCTAAGTATTTTTAAATTGTAATGGGTCAGGCCAATTAATTGTGGAAGTTAATTCTTGCCGCTCACACTTGAAAAGTGTTTTTTCTGGGAACCAGCAGTTAGCGTAATGGCTATGTCGCTGGACTCCCACGTAGTCAACCGTGGTTCACGTCCCAGACCTGGTGACTTAAAACTCACGCTGGTCGCGTGTGCGTGCGTGCCCAAGATCCCGAGAGGAGAATGGAGAAGGGAATGCAGCATGACCATCCCCCCTGGGGGGTGATTTCTCGCTTTCTGTCTCTATGTCTCTCTCTTGTCTGTCTGGCGAGCGCTCGCGCCCTATAGTGAAAATCTCTCCAAAAAAAAAAGAAACAGCAAAAGTGTTTTTTCTGTTAAAATTTACAGTTATTGAGCCTAAATTACAGAATATGTACAAGAGGGAAATTAAAAACAGTAATTCTCTATTAAGAAGTCTAGGGCTGGGACCAGTAGATGGCAGAATGGGTACGTACCTGGACTCCTGTGTAGTTGACCTTGGTTTGAGTCCTGGACCTGGGGGCTTTAAACTCACGCCCAGCACATGTGCTTGCCTGCCCAAAATCCTGAGAGGAGAATGGAGTAGAAGGGATTGCAGCCTGGCCATCCCCTCTGGGGAGTGATTTCTCACTTTCTGTCCCTCTGCCCCGCTCTGTCTCTCTAGCAAGTCCATGTGCCCAATAGCAAAAAACTCTCAAAGCAAAACAAAGCAAAGTCTAGGGCCAACAGGTGGCATGGGAGTTAAGGTGCTAGATTCCCACATAGCCAACCATGGTTTGAGTCCTGGACCTGGTGGCTTGAAAATCACAACAAATGATGAATAAATAAGTAAGTAAGTAAAAGTAAGTAAGTAAGTGAGTGTTTTTCTTATTAAAAAAAAAAAAGAAAAAAAAAAAGTCTGTAGAAATGGTTTGCTTCGGGGCTGGCAGGTGGCGTGGTAAAGGCACTGGATTCCCTCATGGCCAACTGTGGTTTGAGTCCCAGACCTGGTGGCTTGCTTTCTTGCTTTCCATTTCTCTCTCTCTTTTTCTGTCTCTTATCAAAATTTTTTAAAAAAACAATAACAAATGGAATTAAATAATTCTTAAAAAAATTTCTTGTTTCATATGATACATCCTTTAAGCTTAGTATTGTTGGGCTAATTACAACAGGCTAAGAATAACTGTACTATTGTTCATTTAAAACAGCCCCTGGTAGTAATATCTTCAGTTTCCCCAAGTAGAGATTACCATATCTAATCAACAAAGTTTCTTTTTTTTTTTTTTTTTGAGAAGTTTTTGCTATAGGGCTTGTGCACACACCAGAAAGACAAAGACAGAGAGCTAGAAAGTGAGAAATCACCCCGCAGGGGGGATGGCCACGCCTCTCCCTTCTCCTCCATTCTCCTCTCGGAATCTTGGGCATGCATGCACACGGGCCCGGTGTGAGTTTAAGCCACCGGGTCCAGGACTCGAACCGCAGTCGACTACATGGGAGTTCAGCGACATAGCCATTATGCTAACTGCTGGTCCTTGATCAACAAAGTTTAAAAAATTTTGCTCTGGTCTACTCCTTGCCAGTATTAGAATTTAAAATAGAAGACCATTTTCATAACATTTGTTTTTTTTATTTTACCAGGTCGTTTTGGATGTCGGGTGTGGAACTGGAATTCTCTCTATGTTTGCCGCTAAAGCTGGGGCAAAGAAGGTTCTTGGAGTTGATCAGTCTGAAATACTGTACCAGGCAATGGATATCATAAGGTAGATGCATAAAACAGGTTTCTCGTCTTTATTAGCTATCTAGTGTAGACTGAAGATATTTGTTTTCAAGTAAAAATGCATTCCAAAATCACAAGATTTTAATTTGGATTCAGTTCGACATGTTTGGCTATGGTGCTCAGTTCTCAGCAACAGGAGTTATTTTTATGTAGTTTTCTGACTTTCCAGTTAAGGCTATAAGTATGCTAATTCTAATGTAAATTTCAAAATCATTAGTCTGTACTATAATTTCCACAAAATGCTGTACAGAACTATGTATATATAAGTCTTATTTTCTTTAGTAGATAGTGGCTAGACTGAAGACTAAGCTTTCTCTTTTTCTCTTGTGAAAACTCTAGGCCTGTACATTCTTCAGATTAAGTAAATTCCTCAATAACTTAAAAATAAGTCAGAATAGATTCGGTTTATCCCCCAAATTTGATTTTATTTTCTAAAAAATCTCTTTTGAGTTTGGTTGATTTTACAACTGGCTGTGTTCTGGTAAAAAGGCCTGTACGTGAAATACAGCCTAGCCGGCTCTGTGGCCTCGTGTCTAAGGGAGCCAGTGCCCAGCTAAGGTTGAATGTATGGTTGAATCTCAGCCCTGGCAGCTTATAAAACATTCCGAGCATGTGTGCATGCATAGTTGTAAACTATGAAGCAAGTGTTTCAACATGTTCTTTGCTTTGTCAAAGATCCTTTCATTCTTTCTTCTTAATTTTCTTTTTTGCCATAAGGCACATGTGCTCACCAGAGAGAGAGAGGGAAAGTCCACAGTCACTCCTCCCTCGGGGGATGGCCATGCTGAAACCCCTTCTCCTCCGTTCTCCTTCTGAGATTCTGGGCATGCACACACGCATGCCTGGTGTGGTATTCAAGCCAACGGCTCTGGGACTTGAACCACAGTCGGCTCTGTGAGAGTCCAGCACCTTCACTGCTATCCACCTTCTGGCCCTAACCCTTTCATTCTTAATAGTGTTTATCTTATCAATATATAAAATGGATAATTTTCATGAGATTTTCTGTTTCCTTAGAGTGTATGTGGAATTTTTGCTGAAATAGTTGTAGAAAACACAGACAAGTACAGTGAAGAAACTACAATTCGTCTTACTACTGCACACAGCTAGTTCTCTAATGTTGCTGTCAGATAAATTGCGTTTGTTACAAAGATTGCTACTGAGCATGAAGAGTAACTGAATTCAGTTTATATTTAGTATAATACCAATTTAGTGAAACGACCATTTTGCATAGAGTATATCTTCATTATAAATAAATTTTGTAAAAAAACAATAGCATATTTTAATAATTTTAAGACATTATACACGGGAGTATATAGCTAGAAACTTATTGAGGAAACTGTTGTATTATACAGTAGCTTTACTATTTTCACTGATTTTTAGGAAAACAGCATATATTGTGACTTTACAGTACTGGGTTTACTTAACAAAACGATCCACATTGGCTTTGTTTTTCTAATTATATATCAAGCTCTTGTGCATGGGCTTCTCCTCTCTTAACATAATATAGAAACTTAGCAAGTAGATGTACTTAAAAGACTAAGAAGTAGATTTACTATCTCATCATTTTTAGCACTAATGACTATGCTTGTACATCTAGTCAATTGTTCAGTACTTAGTCATTTCAGTCTTAGTTGTTTTTTTGGGGGGGGGTTTGCTATAGGGCGCGTGCGCTCGCCAGACAGACAGAAAGCGAGAAATCACCCCCCAGGGGGGATGGCCACGTTGCAATCCCTTCTCCTCCATTCTCCTCTCAGGATCTTGGGCACGCACGCACATACGCCCAGCGTGAGTTTTAAGCCACCAGGTCCGGGATGCGAACCGTGGTTGACTACGTGGGAGTCCAGTGACATAGCCATTATGCTAACTGCTGGTCCCTCAGTCTTAGTTTTTTAAACATAGAGATTATCAAAGTTTTAGTTCTTGTTATCGACATACAGTAATATTTGTGTAGACCTTTTTCTTACCTTGTGTTTTGACCATATGACCAAGGTGCATTACAGGCATTATCTTTGCCAGTCATTATCAGTCATCGTGATTATAATAGAAACAATTGTTTGCCAGTTACGTTTTGCTCAAATATAGATTAAGTTTTTCTTCCATAGAACTGTTGAACAGTTTTGTAGTCTGTTCCTCTCCCATTTGTTTTGCGATACCAAGTTATTCCTGAGAATCTTTTTTAACTTTCTCTGTTTTATTGTATTTGGTTAGTGTTGGAGTATTTCAAAGTAAATCTTATACATTAGGTCAGTAAATGTGTCACAATACAACTGAGTATTAATTCACGACAGCACATATTGAAAATGTCTTAGCACTCCACCTTTAGGTGCTCTGAGTTATAATACAAATGCTAACATTAACTTAATGCTTTTTATTGGATTTCCTTTGGCGTTGTTAGAATTATTGTAGATGATTGCCCTTGTTATACAGATTAAGACGTTGAGGCCCAAAGATAAAGTAATTCTCATTTTTGTGCTGGAGCCAGGGTTCGATCCCAGGCAGGCAGACTGTGTAGTCTTTCCTCCACCAATTTGCTATGCTCTATTTCCATCTCACTCTTTACTACTATAGCTATTACAAGTGTTCGTTGCATTCAGTCGTCGGCTTTACTTATACTCTATTATGGACTTTGAGAAGCAGACCTGTTTGGGATGAGCCAACATTGTCCTTTTTCTTCAGAAACATTTCCCATTGCCTTTCTTACATGGTGTAAAGGTAGCTAATGTAGTATTCGTATGCATCTCTCCCTTCTTCCTTTTGACATTTTGCAGTTTACACTTTGGGGTGAAAAATTTCTGTTGTTCTGTTTCTGAATGTGCGTCTAAAAGAATATGCAGAGAACAGTGTATTGTCACTCTCTATGAATTTACGGACTCATTATTCAGCCAGTGGAGGAGGTGGTGTCCTGTAGTGTATTTGTCTCATCTTCTGGGATCCTATGCCTTAAATTCTAATTTTGGCTCTTTCAGAAATTAACTTTTATGGTAGTGGAGTAATTACTTAATATTTTTGAACCCTGGTTTCGTAATTTTTGAAATGAGATTGATAGTATCTATCGATAGCTCCTAAGGTTATTGTAAAGATTGAATCCGTTTGTGGCGCTTTGCAAAGTGGCTGGCATGTACTTGCTCACTGACGTTAGCAGCAATCATAACAATGTTAGTTAGTAGTAGTGGTTTGGTGTGGCATCAGTGCCTCAAATATTAATTTACCTCTGGTGTTTCTGTTTCTAAAATAACCATTTATGGCACCTATTCTTATCAAATTATGACTTTCTTCTCTGCATTCTTTGTACAGTCTATTCTTTGACACCATAATACTTCAAGCTTTAGTCAGCTTCATTCTATGCCAACTCTCCTCTCTCGAATTCTGCTCTCACCTTCTCTTATACTTGTCTGTTCTTGCATGTTGAAGCTTTCTAGAACTATCACCAGTCAGAGGAACAACCCTGCTGACTGACAGGCCGTGAGCTGATTTCGCTCTTCTGAGGTCTTTTTCTCTCTCAGAATTCTACATATGGAGAACGTCTGTAAAACTCAACACATTTATAATCTGTAAAAGGCACTTTGGATTCTAAAAGATGAATATTTTTATTTTTTACTTTTAAAAATAAATTTTCATGTGTATGTTTGAGGCTTAAAACATAGTGTTATGGGGTACTTGTAAGTAGTGAAATGATAGCCAATGAAAGAATATATATCTGTCATCTCACGGTTCCTTTTTTGTAACAAGAGCATCTAAAATCTACCTATTTAACCAAATACCTAATAAAATATAACTTACTACCGTCCTCCTATTGTCCGCCAGCTCTCTAGGCTCGTTTACCCTATGTACCTGCCGCTGTATACCCATTAACCCATCTCCCCTCCTACTCCCCACACCCCTGCCCATGGTGACCATGCCGTTTTAGTCTCTGTATAGTTAACCTTTTTGTGGTTTCTCATGTAAGTGAGATCATATTATATTTTTCTTTGACTTACTGCACTCAGCATAATGGCATCCAGGTCTACCCAGGTGGTAGAAAACAGGATCTTCTTTCGAAAGGCTCAGTAATAGTCATCGTGTGTATATATGTACAAGGAGACATCGAAAAGACATGAAAAATGGAATTAAAATACATGTTTTTTTTTAAAGTTTATTATTATTTTAAATTTGCTGTAAGTCACATGCACTCTCCAGAGAGAGAGGGAGAGAGACAGAGAAAGTGAGAAAGCAAGCCACCAAGTCCAGAACTCAAACCACAGTCAGCTGTGTAAGAGTCTAGTTCCTTAACCATCTGCAGGCCCTAAGCTCAAGTTTCTTTTTTAAGTGCAAAAATACGTTGAAATCCTTGAATAGTTTTTTTCCCCCCAAAATATGCATTTTCCATGAAGTTTTTGAAAACTCCCTACACACACATACATCTACATTTTAAAAATCTATCCGTCCATCAATGGACACTCGACAGTGAACTCTCCATATCTTGGCTATTGTAATTCTGCAGTGAACAAGGGAGTCCAGATAATCTTTATATGGTGATCTTACCTCCTTTGGTGTATTCTCGGAAGAGAGAGATCACTTGGTCATTCGTAGTTGTGTCTTCAGATGTCTTGGAAACCCACGTACAAGTTTTCATTGTGGTCGTACCAGTCTACATTTCCACCAGCTGTGCCAGGGTGACCTCTTCTCTGTACCCTCACCAGCATTTGTTAACACAACCATCCAAAGGTGAATGTTTTTTAAAACACATGGTCCATTATTTATAGGCAATGTATAGTCCTTAAATTGTGTTCAAAATAATGATAAAATAATTTTTATTTATTTTTTATTGAAAAAAAGTTATTTAACTTTTCTAAAGAAATGAGTTTAGAATGGGATAAGCTTGGATTGTCAGTGTAAACTGACATTATATTAGGCTTTAGGAAGAAGATTAAGCAGGCTGTTCAGAAGCTGCAGAGGTGAATAAAAGATTTTCTAAGATGTTAGATAGTGGGTGCAAATAGAACT